GCCTGATTACTATAGGGGCCGTTATGATTTTAATATTTTGGGGGGTTCCCTCTTATGTTTCGAGTATGATATACCCCAAAGCCCTATTCTAATTATTAAGGCCCCTACATTAAACCTTGAGCCCTAAACCTTAAACCCTAAACCCTAAACAAGATACCCTCAAGCCCTATTCGAATTATTGAGGCCGCGACTTTACCACCCCTCAGGCCGCTAAAATGAGAGCCCTGACGCTCAGAGCAGGTCCCAGCGCCTGATGTAGGGGTCTCCTAGAGACTCCAAAACCCCTTAATTAAGGAATATACCTTAAATCTTATCCCTAATAAGATTTAAGATATATTCCTTACTTAAGGGGTTTTGGAGGCTCTGGGCTCAACAATTAGCTATATTATTGTGGGGGTTCGCTTTTCTATTTAGACTACAGTGGATCCCAAAACCCTATTCTGATTATTCGGGCCCCTATAAACCCAGAAAGCCCGACGCCTACGCCTACAGATTTTAGGTTCAGGGTTTTCCCGTCTTACGCCTCGCAAGAACCCAGAGCCTCCAAAACCTTCTTGTTAAGGAATATACCTTAAATCTGATTAGGGATCCTATTATAATTCAAGGTATATTCCTTAATTAAGGCGTTTTGGAGTCTCTAGGAACCTAAAGCGCAAAAGAGCCCTACAGTACTCTGAAGGGAACGCTTTAAGAGGAAGCCTTCAAGGAACCCTCTTAAGGGTTCCTTAAAGGCTTCCTTTACCTAAATCCTAAACCCCTTGAGTTCCTTTACGGCTTCCTTTAACTCTTCACGGATCACTTGAACCCGTCTGAAGCCCTGCTTCCCTGTTTCTATGCCTTACACCCGAAACCCAAACGCCTTCTATTAGGGTTTAGGGTTCAGGGTTCTGCGGGAACCCTTAAAGGAAGCCTAAATACGCACACCCCCAAGAATCCCTTAACGCGGGAACAAGTCCCTTATAGAACCCTTGTAGGACCCATGCAACGAAATCCTGCACCCTAACGGTCGAACCCTATTAGAAATCCCGGGCCCTACAACCCCAAAAATGTCAGGATTCATACTACCTAGAGACTCCAAAACCCCTTAATTTAAGGAATATACCTCAAATCACATTAGGGATCCTATTATAATTTAAGGTAGATTCCTTAATTAAGGGGTTTTGGAGTCTCAAGACTTTAAGAACCCCAGTGAAGAGCCAAGGTTTCTTTTTCAGATTCCTATGTTAAAGCCCCAAACCCCCAAAAAGATCTAAAAAAATAGATCCCCTGATTAGGGACCCTAACTACTAAAGGGTACTTTATAGGAACCCCCTTAGGGGATCTATTTTTTAGATCCTTTTGGGGGTCTGGGGCGGAAGGAGAGATTCTGCCTCCGCGTGATGAAGAAGAGCTGGAAGTGTCGAAGTGGGAGCTGTTGGGCACTGCCCGGCCCTCGTTCTTCAGTCCGTTCTCGCTTTTTACATGTTTTTGCATGGTTTTTTGGGTGGTTTAGGGTTTCGTGGATTAGTGATAGGCTTTTTGCAGGGTTTAGCTGGGATGTTGAATGGTTGTTTTTCGGTTCAGGGTTTAGGGTCTAGGGTTTAGGGGTTTAGGGGTTTGGGGTTTAGGGTTTTGGGATGTTGAAGGGTTGTTTTTGGTATCTAGGGTGTTGTAATGGTTTCGCATGTGGAAGTTTCTTTTTCTCACAAAGAAGAACCGGGCTAAGTCAGGTCTAGATAGCCTCTGCCCGGACATGGGCTGGGGATGTGGATGTCTGTGTGATTGCATTGATTTGACGAGGTCTTACGAGTATTGGCTTGAGGGTTTTTTTCTGGGTTTAGGGCGGAACGTGATAGAGTTTACGGTATTCTAGGTGTTCCACCTGCTGAAGGTCGTGGCTGCTATTGACGACGCCAGCGGAAAGGGGTGCACGCCTTACGTGACTCACGCATCACAGAGCCGTTTGCTGGAATGCTTGTATTGTCTCGAGTCACTTGCCGCCGGGAGCTGCAGGGCAGGTAAGTATATCGTTTCATATGGTTTGCAACTTGATACTCCAAACCTAACCGTGGCTTTTCAACAGGGTTTGCCTGAAATTCCTGTAACCGTGGCCTAAGGCCCTAAACCCTAAACCGCGGTGTATATTGAGTTGTGTGTGTGCATGTCTATCTGTATATATATATATATACACATAGGTGCATATAGGGTTGACTTCGTTGTCAGAGTTGCGTGCCGGACAGAGGTTTGTGACGAATCTTGTAGAAGCCTAAACCCTAAACGCTAAACCCTAAACCCTAAACCCTAAACCCTAAACCCTAAACCCTAAACCCTAAACCCTAAACCCTAAACCCTAAACCAATATCATTCCCAAGGGCTCCTCCCAGAGAACCCAATAGCCCTTAACTAAGGAATATACCTTAAATCATAATATGAAGGCCCCTGGGTTTAGGGTTTTGGTTTAGGGGTTTAGGGTTTAGGGTTTAGGGGTTTAGGGTTTAGGGTTTAGGGTTTAGGATCATAATATGAAGGCCCCTCTAATTTAAGGTATATTCCTTAGTTAAGGTGTATTGGGTTCTCTGGGCTTAACATGGCTATACTATACCCCCCAAAACCCTAGTCTAACAATCAGTGACTTGCAGTGTCAGTGGACCCTACACTCTAGGCCCTAGAACCCCAAACCCCTGCCATAGATACCCTACAGAAATCCTGTAAAAATTACGAGCAACCCTTATTCTAATTATTAAGGCTCATATATTCGATGCACAGCAGAGGAACTCGAAACCCGAAATCCCAGACCCTAAACCCCAAATTAAGGGTTTAGGGTTTAGGGTACACCCGGAACCCATGCGATGTCCATGTTGCAGGGTAAAGCAGCTGACAAATCGTCCTGGAGAGGCACCAGTTGAAGTTGGCAGGCCTGCCGAATGGCTCAGGGCTTATTTTTTCGGGCTCAATGTGAGTTTTCGCCAAAATAAGGAACACTTAATACAGGCATCGCATAATACGGTTGATGATACAAATCCAGCATTACCCAGAATAAGGAATATACATGAATTCCCACAGTTTGGGGTCCCATCAACAGTAGGTCCTTATCAGTCTTTATCGTGAAATAAAGGTATACCTACGGATACACCTCATAAAGCCGAAGACAACCATGACACGGAAACACTTGAAAACGGTCTTAATGGCCGCAATGTGAAACTACAAATATAAGTTCTTAAGAAATTTACATGTATATATATATATATGTATACATACATACATACATAGATACCTACATTATACCATGTTTTATCAACATAAGTGCCTCTGTACATATGATACATACATGCATACATACATACATACATACATACATACATACATACCTACATACATACATACATACACACAAACATACATACATACATGCATACATACACACATACATACATACAGACATACAGACATACATACATACATACAGACATACAGACATACATACAGACATACATACATACATACATACATGCAGACATACATACATGTATATATTCATTGTATACTGCATTACTAAGCCTTCAAGATCCCAGATCTCTGGTTTCTTTCTCAGCAGCTGCAGGTCCAATGCGGAGGAGGAGACTGGTGTCTTCGGGTCACCACCCAGAGAACCCAATACCCCTTAATTAAGGAATCTACTTTAAATGTTTAGGGTTTAGGGTTTAGGGTTTAGGGTTTAGGGTTTAGGGTTTTGGTTTAGGGGTTTAGGGTTTAGGGGTTTAGGGTTTAGGGTTTAGGGTTTAGGATCATACTATTAAGGCCCCTATAATTTGAGGTATATTCCTTAATTAAGGTGTATTGGGTTCTCTGGGCAAACCTCCTCGATTCCCGTGAATTGGGTTTCTGTATCCCTAGGGGTCCAAAGGACCCAATAATTGGGTACTCGGTTGTAGGATAGTAGTTATGTAGGTCAGTAGTTTGGAGAATATGAGATTTTGTTATCATATATCACCATAGATTATGATTTGCTACTTCAGGTTGCATTACATTATTGAATACGGGTTCTTATCTGGGCAGCAGGAGCTTCCGCGCCGGACCCTCGCCAAGAAGGCCATGGGGAGATTGATTTATCAAATCAAGTCAAATATAGCATACTAAACTAGAACAGAATAAAGTAGAATAGAATACAGCGACAGTGCCGCTCAAGAAAGAGTTGGTTTTCGGTTGGGGTATCCTCGACTTCCTAATTTGGGAGCGCATGTAGTTTTTGTCGAAAAACGGTTCCGGACTTTATTGTAACCTGCATTTCTTAATCCAATTTTGTTTGCTTTTTGGAGAGGGCTCCCAGATCAGCCAATCGGAATACAAAAAGGTACGGCGCATGAAAACAGTTGCGTGAATTCAACCCGAGGCCTTTTACCAATCAGCTTATGCGCTTGACCACAAATTTCAGAAATCCAGGGGGTGGATTTCCGATTTTTTGTGGTTTAGGGTTTAGGGTTTAGGGTTTAGGGGGTTCAGCGCGTGCCTAATAAGGGCTTCATCAGGCTTCAATAGCGGCTTTACGAGGGCGCCATGGCTTGATAAGGCTTTGTCAGAAAGGATTCAACCCTCCAAATAAGAATTCGCTGGAGCAAAAAAAACAAGCGAAGAGATATCGCGAAGAGCAAAATCAGAAAAGGCAAGCCGAGGTCAGCGTACCCTGGATGTCTTGTTTCCAATCTGCGCGTGTGTTTGTTTTTCTGTGGCTGCCGGATAGGCTCAATTTCTTCAAACAATGATTTCTGTAACAAGTGCTGTCGCTGCAGAATACGTAGGTTAGCATAGAACAGAATAAACAGAATAGAATAGATGTGACACGAATCTCATTTAGTCCGCGTCAGTCGTCCATGGATGTCAACGGCAAGAAACATTGCACAGCCGCCATGCAGAGATTCACTTGCACTCGCCCTTGCTTTCTTTCCTGCTGCATCTTTAGATCAAGACTTCACACCGCTAGCTAGTGCGGGTGAGCTGACAACTGACAAGGGCCAGCTTGTGTCATGCCGCCGAAATTCGTCAGTGATGGCGTGCATTTCAAACATTCGTTTTGCTCCCTAAACTCCGGCAAGTTGGACGAGTTCTACAAGATGGAGACCAAGAAGAAGCTGGGTGAGGGATCTTACGGCTCAGTGTCTAAAGGCACCCACAAGTCCACAAATGCCGTGCGGGCCATCAAGGCCATCGACCGCACGAAGATCGCTGATGGAGAGAGATTTCAGACGGAGGTCGACATCCAATCAGCACTAGATCCTTGGTTCCCCAATACCCAACCTTTAAACTTTTTGGGTTCTTATAACTTAGTAGTAATCTGAAAGTTTAACCCTTTTATTTCCCTGGCTTATTGGCGAAGTAAGGATCACCCAAACATCGTGAAACTCTATGAGGTCTTCCTGGACGCCAAGAAGGTCTTAGCAGCTGAGTGAGTACACTTTACACTT